ATTCCACTGAAAAGTTATCAACCAGTTTCTACTTTCTCATTAGAAGTAATAATAAAAAAGGCAAAGCAAAACCCTCTGAGAGTGCTGTGGGGAAAAACAAAACAAATTAAGGCTAATGGAGAATTTGAACTAGTTAGACATAGGGAGAGAGAGTAAACAGAGGCAACGCGTCAAAGAAGCTATTCAAAAATATCACTCCAGATTGCTTATTTATACAAAAAACTGTAAGGGATGACTAGAGAGAAAACAATTCTTGCTCAGACTGTGGTATAGAATGGAGCTCATGATTTGAAATTGAGAAGTAAGATTAGACATGAATAAAGCACCTTTCCTAAAAGTTTTGGTCAGGTATTTGCCAATACCTACCAAATCTTTTTGAACCTTCAGGTTTAAAAGACTGAAATGAATCCAACATAAAGAAAATAAAAATAGTAAATTTTAGAAGTAAAGAGAGGAAATATAAAATGGAATCTAAGCAGAACAAGAACAAGAAAAACAAGAAAAACCCAAAATGTAGCAGTATGAGCCACTGAGCAACCAAATGAATTTTATGTCAGACCACGGCTTTGGACACCCAGGGATGAGGCAGACCTCAGCAGGACTATTAAGGGCCACTGCCGTTCTCTGGTGGGCATTTTTTCTGGGCTCTGCTCAGAACTGGACCAAGGTGCTTTGGGTCAGGGCTGTCAAATTCTTGGCATTTCTCCTATTTCCTTTGTATTCCACTCTCAATTAAAGACAGGAGAATCAAGCCCAATTTAAAAATATTGACTTAGCAGCAGGTTTATCTCAAGGGTGAGCAGAGAAAAGCTGCAGTATTTATAAAAGGTCCATTTATTCCTGGGGTAAAAATCCTCCAAATTTAAATAACAAAGGATATCAAGGCCAACACAATAAAGACTATACTAAAGACACTATAAAACCATCCTTTTACAATTCAGCATAAAGATCAGGATACAACATAAAGGGGAAGGAAATGAAAACTAGAGAGGGAAGAAGAAGAAAATAAAGGCAAGACCAGCCATATGGCATCTAGAAACAAAGTTCTTATAAAATGTGATACTGATTTCATCTTGATAAGCCGTAAAAAATTCCCTTTCAAAGTAATCTCCAAGCTAACATCAATAGAAAAAAAAAATCGGAGGTAATACATAGAATGTCAATTCAAGCATGCTCTGACATTTCAATTAGTCTATAAAATTAGGAAACCGAAGCTGCTAGAAAAATGCTCTTATAAGCAAGTAAACATCCGCTGTGGCAGCCACAACCCAAACATTAACAAATGTTGGTAAAAGCACGAGAAACAGACAGTGAATTAGTCAGCTGCTGGTCAATAAGTAAAACAATTACTCTACACTCATTGCTCACTTTGGCTAAAAGGAATCACACTGGGAAAATTAATTGGATTTTGTAAAGTACCACGGCTGGAAAAAGATCAAAGTGTTCTTTAGAATAAAGATTATTTTTTTGGTCATGATTCTGTGATTGTTTCTCAAATGTTAGGCTCTCTAAGAAGCAATTATTTTAAAAGAACAATAGGTCAGTGACAACAGAAACCCCAAAACAGCAAAAATAAATTAGTGACAGAAGGGGACATAAAGAAAAGAGGGACATAAATAAATAGATGTGAGATAAAAATAACCAAAGGCAGCTGCTTTTGGACCAAGTCTAGTCTTTTTTTATTTCTTTTTTTTTTTTTCTTTCCATAAGACAAATATTGTTTTAAATCTCAAATTCAGAACTGGAATCAGAAACAATGCTATTATTCTCTTATTAGGAAAAGATAATAGCCAGAGAAGTCATACAAACACATCTAAATAGTTCAGCTGCCGCCACCAGCATGACTCATGCAAGTCATTGTCTGTAGGAAAGGACCCTGTGGCTACATCTACCTTAGATACTGGTCCAGGGACTGTTTATGGCTTTCAGAACAACTAATAACATATCCATAAGGCTAAAGTACGTTGGCCGTAATTAAAATGCCAAATGTCAATGACACTTGTCTCAGGCTAACTCCTGAACTATGGCCAAGGCTTGTTTGCAAAGGTAACACTTGGCCCAAGCCAAAAACTGTGCCAGAGACCATGATATCAATTTAACACTTAAAATAGCCCTGCATACTTTATTAGCACAGATGTAGTTAGGACTATACCTACACAGAATTACATCTGTGCAGTATTAATGACAAAAAGTGTTTGAAATCTGCCTAGATAGTCTGAAAACTGTCGGGGAGAAAATATGTTTTTATTGCTTGAGATATACAGGGAGTTAGGTGTTTATTAGAGGCCTCACTCTCTAATTTAAAGTGGTGCCTTACCGCCATGCTACAAGACAGGACTTTGCTTGCCAAAACTGCATTGAACCTATAAAGGCAACCAAACCTTGTAACTCCCACCATGAACCACGGTCATATGGAGCCTGACCCTGCAAGGCTATAGGGGCTTATCAGCATATGCTTATCAGCATCCTAAGCACTTACATTCAGAACTTAAGCTCACAGCTGATCCTTTCCAGCGAAACTCTCCAGCTGTCAGGGGGTCATGGCTTTGCTTGAGAAAAGAAGCTCTTGATAGACTTCTAGAAGCAACTATTGACATGAGTAAGTGAAAATCTGAAGGTAAAACATTCCTTTTATGCAGTCTTCCCTAGAAGACAGATTAATTGCAGATAAAAAGACTCTTTTCTAGAGTGTGGAAAACAGCAAAAAAGATTCTCATTTAATGCTAATTATATTATTTGATAGAATGATATACATGTTGTCTTACATGTTGCCTTGCTTTATCTCTGCTTGGTCTTAAGGCTGATTTCACAATGACATGCTCTTTCTTAGATCATGTATGTTGGTATAAAAACACACACAAATACATACTTATTAAGTAGTCATGTGTATACACACACAGTTATTGGAAGCTCTGCAAGAGAAAAGAAAATCATGATTGTAGATTTCATTCACTGTGTTGGAAATTCATTGAGCAAAGAAGGGGGAGAATATTTTTAAAATTAGCTAACAGATTCCTCTCGATTTTATCTCTACAGCTCTTTGTGATGTTTGTCATATTCATGAGGACATTCAGAGGCACAGACTACAGATTGCTTTCCAGATGCTGACCATTGTCATAATTCTCCTATACACAGCCTATGATCTACCAGTCATACTTGTGCAAAAAATACAATGACACCAACTCCTTCTGGCCAAAATATTCTACCATAAAGTGGTGAAATATAATGACCAAATGAGGAAGTAAAATGCATTCTTTAACAACAGATTTCTCGTGAGGCACAGAGGATTTGATGTGTGCAATGCAGAACTGTAAACATTTTTCAGTGAGTTATTTATTATTCCTACTTAGCTTATTCTTGCAGCATAAAGTGAGATGCATGTGGGAGACCAGAGGTACAGCGGGGTGGCCTTTTTGCACTAACCAATGTAATACAGTAATTAAATCACAATAACCAAATCTGACTGGTTTGGAGAGACCTGTTCAGAAATCTAACTATTAAGAGAACTCATACTTTGGTTGACAGGTAAGCCCACCGTTATGGATGAAGTTATACAATCTCACAGTGTGTCAGACTGATTTACATCTTTTCAGAAGTGTTTTCAGTTGTCAAAACAACCTATAGGAAGTTGTTGGGTTTTTTTGTTTGTTTGTTTTCTCTAAGCATCTAAATCAGTTTCTCTGGAATCACTGAAGAATTCTGTCCATCTCTTAGGAGTTTTATCTTAGTAAAAGGTCTCTGCTAGTCAGACCAAAATTTGAAGGGAAAAATATAAAAGAATAATTTGAAACATGCTCAACCTGAAAATCTTTGGGCTATTGAACTGTAAAAAATCAGGAAGACCCTCAAGGAAAACAGGCCTGTTTGTGAAACTCAAGGATTCAGAATACAGTCATTCATTTCATTATTTTCAACCAAAACCTAAATAAAATCAATTTTATTTCTGTATCTTCCTTTTTCTTTTTTGTTCAAGTGTTCACGAACACATCATCTTTTCCATTTACTTTTCATTATCACCCTATTTTTACAAGCTGCTTTTTTATTTATTTGGACAAAAATAATCAAAATGCAGTACAAGTAACAGATAAAGCAATTTTCTAACAGAGCTCTTGTATAACACTTTGCGATATAGGAAGTAATAGTTTTGTATTTTCTTATCAGGCTCTTGCTGATTACTAATGCTGTAGGCTTTGCAATTGCATAATATGAGTATAAAGACCGGTTTTGAACTTCACTTGATATTGTTTGTTATGCACTAAAAATTCACAGTCAGGAGAGAAGTAAGTGTGTATGTATTTACTATATTATAAATAATTTTAGAATAATTAAGAGAGAAAAATAAATTTAATGTCATTGATTAAGAAAGCCTAAGAAATAATTGCATATTATATATTAACATTATTTATTTATTGCTTAGAATTTGCTGTAAATTTGTATTTGTATTTTAAAATACCTTCCTGTGACCAAAAACATCACAAGCAATCAATCACAACAGCACCATCAAAAAAATCCTTGCAATCCCATGGTTTATCTCAAAACTGCAGTTTGCAGAACTGATCTATATGTCAGCTCTCTACAGTGGTGGGAAGTACGGCTGAAGATAATATTAACAGCGACTCTGGAACTAGGTTATATCAGGTTAACGTAACTCACGTTCACATATGTTGACTCATTTTTAATTTGTTCTCTTCATTGTTATCATGAAATTCAAATACGCGCCTTGACTGTAAAGCGTTTATATGCTGCAATGAAAGCCTTTACAATTTTGTTTTGAAAGATCCAATGTTTTCACGGCATAAAAAGAAAGTACTTCAAAGAGTTTACAGGAAAAAGCCAGCAGAAAGCAGAGAGAAAGATAGGAAACCGGGAAAGATCTACGTCTGTGTGCACGTGTTCACTTACATTTAGTTATGTAATGCTTCTAGTGTGTCCAGTTCCTGTGGGCATTGTGAAAGGCTGACAGTTACTTGGATAAACTTACTTGGCTACATTTTCATATATACTTTCACCATGTCATATTTTGGATAGTATGACGTTCTTGTGGCTATCCACTGCCCTACAGCCTAGACAAAAGCAAGCAAATCCATTCGGACCATTGCTGGGAGAATAGTACCCACGCACCGGAGGTCAGGCCACATCTTCCCTCTTCCTTCCTCCGCCTGGTCTATCAAACCTCACTCACTTGCACAAGCAAGGCATCCACACCTCCTTTAACAGTAATTATAGTCTGGGTGATAGACAACCCTCTGGATACATCTATAGGACTCTCCTACCTACATTTGGCCCATGATGCTGGGTGCCTGATATCTACCTGCCAAATGTTCAGAAAGGTCCCTCAGGCTTTCTTTTAAGGGTCCCCTAATAGGCACAAGGAGCAATTTGGAAATATCCATTCATTATTTCCACTGTTCTTCAAAACCTTATCCTTTTGCTGTGACTCTTCCAGGAAAATCTGTCACAGTTAGGCTCTCACCTTGTCATTTTGACCAATATTTCACACTGTTTCCTTTGCATACCTTGTCTGTCTTTTTCCATTTAGTGCTTTTCATCAGCTCTCAGAGACACCCAGACTCTTTTTATTCCGTGTTTTTACAATGACTTACTGAGGTCTGCAAGTGGGCCTTCTAGGGACTATAACAATACGAATACTACATGCTAAGTTCATTAAAATACTGACCCACAGATGAAAGCTACACAAGCCCCAGCAACCTTTATCACGGACATGAAGAAGTAAATCTCCACAGTCAGTAAGAATGCAAAGAATACTCTAGAAATTTATCTCACTATTTAATATCTAAATTTCTTACACAAAAAGGAATTCTTGAATACCATTATATAATAATTCCCAGACAAAAACTGCATTAAGAGTTACAATTGAACATACATATCAATAATTTAAGGTAAAATACATCACAGGGATATATATTTAGCCCCAAGCAAGATTTACAAACCTAGAAAGTTTACAGATCTGGTTATTCTGGCAAGAAAACCAAGTGTGTTTAAGAGCTGGAAATATGAAAACAGCTGCCTGAGAACAATGTGAATTGATAGCCATTATGAAAAAGGAGGCAGCATGCCTTTGGCATCAGATCTATTGAAAACATTGCATCCATTTTCTGAACAAGAAAATTTTTCACGGAATTCTTTGAAGGAAAATATTACACGGCAACCTCTATTGAAGAAGGCACTCCAAAAAATCTGACTTCAAGTAATGAATAATTTAAGAGACCTGTTTATAAAGCTGTTTTATAAGTACGTTTACTTGTAAATTCACAAAAAATTAGTTTAAAGAATAAATTATGTCAATTTGAGTAATACTTTCCACTCTTCATACACAAATGAAGTGACATTCTGGATTTTGGCATTAAAACTCAACTCACCATAGACCTCTTTGTGGTGCTTCCAGGCATTGGTCATTATTGCCTGGCAAACACACGGAATACACTTATGTGTAAGTTAAGCGACTTAGAACCCCAAGTTACATCAAATAAAAACACTTAGGGGCCCTACATATTACTGAAGTCACAGAGGGATTTTTGAAAATTGCACACAATTACCTTAATGCATGGAAATAAGTAAAACGCTTAAAATAATGAATTATTCTTATTTAATTTTACTTAATGCAGGATTCCTGTCCCAAAAACACATTACTAACCATGGTGCTCACAACCATTAGTTATGTCTAAACACAAAATCAGCTCACTCATGGCAGTGCATACTAAAGCTTGTATAATAGCCTGGTCCCCAGAAGATCTCAAAGTACTTTACAAATTATAATGAACTGATATGACAATTGTTGGACATGCACAGCTTCCACTGAATTCACAAAATGTATCTCAGGATTAAGCCATAGTCAAAGAGCCTGTTTTTGCACCTTACTCACTAAAACTCCCACTGGCTTCAAGACCCAGTGAAGTGCTGAACAGGGCTCTCATTGAATTTCACAACGTTCTTATTATCATGCTCCATTACGCCTTGCTATGTCACACCCCATTTTACAAACAACACCATATAAAGAACCAAAGTGGTCTGCAATAGCATAACAGTAGAAGAACCTAGAGGAAAAAAAGGCAAAAAAAAAAAGTTGATAAGCAACGCAAAGGTATGTGGTAGAGTTAAGAAGAACCCACGATGCCTGGTTGTCAATCTTATGCTTTAACCACGAGGTCAAGTAGCCCTCTTCTGCTGGCATTGCCACAACAGACCATGAACTGAGAGTGAAAATCTGTGGGGAAACAAGGAAAATATGAGAAAGCACCTCTTCGGGCTTGGAAGAAAAAAACCCTCACAGAACGCTTCTTTGCGATAAGCATCATATTGTAGGACTGGAGACCACAGCCATATACACAAAGCCAGTTCAAGGCTCCTCTGTAGTGCAGGCAAAAGTGATCTTTTCCACCTCAGGAATAAAAGGCTGGGCTACACTGGCAACAAAAAGGACGGGGATAGAGAGAAAGGGCAGAGCTGGGATGGAGAGGAAAGGGGAGAACCTCGGAGAGCCAGGCTCACCCTCCTGCTGAGGAAAGGGGACACCTTGACCCTGCCGGCAATGCTGGAGGCAGTCGCCTCGTGTGGCTTTCCAAGGCTCCCATACAGGCAAAACAGGCAGAGGCGTTATTGTTATTTTGCCAGCCTTTCAGTCTGCAGCCCTAGCCTACTGCCTACTCCTTCTCTGCTTTAACCCAGCTTTGTTTACACGGCCCAGTATAAAATTTATCATTTGTGTAAGCACTTCGCCATGGCTTGCTTTGCAAATCGTTGTGCTAGATTTTAGCCCTGGAAATAGGTATAGAAAATTGAACGTTTCATTTTTTTCCTATACGCAGTTAGGAATCTAGAATATTAAACAATCTAAATCATATTCTCTTTTTGAATAAATTTACCTACCTTTTTATTTTTTAACACTATCCACTATTTTATTGGTGCTAGCCATTAGTTATTTGGAAGTTTTACAGCTTTCTTTGAGCTCATACTTGGTTTTCCAGCCATTATATTTTTAATTTCACTGATAGAATTTTAATACATTGCCTACTGCAGCCATAAATTACTTTTTATGTTAGAAAGCAGATTGCTCAGTAATTGCTATTTTATTTACTATACTGATGCAAGCAATTTAAATATGATTGAGTTTTCAAGCTTAGAAACAATATAAAGACTTAAAAGAGAATGCAGAATAAGTGTAAAAAGCAATCAGCAGTAATTGTTTTTACCTGCATTAGAATTAGTTTAAAAAAAAAAAGGAAAAAGAGAGAGAAAAAATAAGTTTATGAACCAGTTGTGGCTCAGTGTCTGCCGTTAGGGTCCCAGTATTAACTACTCATCTTACCCATTGTTCTCCAGATCTAGAAGTGCTAAGAGACAACACACACTCCCATAGATATGGTAAGAGGAGCTGAGAAACATTTTATGCTATTTTTCAGTCACTCTTGGCTAAGCCAAAAATGTTTTGAGAGATTTCAAAGACAAAAGCTCTCCTGAGCAGAAGGCTAGGGATTCATGGCAGACTATAGCAGGCAACCTCCCTAAGTGACAATGCAGTATTCTATCATTATAAATGATACTTTTGTACATTACAATCGAACCTAATGCCCGTAGTATTGTCTACCTTTTTGACAACCTTAGATTTTTCACATGCCTCTTTTGACAGCTAAGGGCTTATTTTGAAGCACTAAAGAAAGATCTGAACCAGAAGTACATCAGGAAATGAAATGCAACTTATAGAGAGTAACCTGGGCTTGTTTCATACTGGCAGGAATCTGCAGCCCCTTCTCAGAAGAGGGAGTTGATCAGAGCTGGTTTGTCTCTTTTACTGCTCAGAAAATATTCATTTATTGGCCCCAATCCAAAACATCCTCGTTTGGAAAATACTGCTGTTGGGCTCCTACTCCTTTACTCTAACCTGTCGGCCAGGAAGAAATGCATCTTATGAGCTCCTGCTTTGGGACATCCTGCCTTGGGAGAAGTGACCACTGTCCCTGGAGAACAAAACGTGGAGATGATGCACCCAAACTTTATCAGTCATAAAATACCACAACAGTCCTTTCAAATGGAAATAGTTTAGACTTTTCCTGAATGCCTATGATTTTGAAGTGAAATGTTTCATTTGGTAGATGAAAACTTTCAAGGAAACCAGATGAATGTGTGAAAAAGTTCACTTAGTGAAACTCCATAAACTTCCATCAATAAAGAATTTAAACAGAAAACAGATGACCTCACTTCTAATTGCTCTAAAATAAAGCTTGGAGGAGAAGACTGGACTTCAGTCAGCCCTGCCTTTACCCACAGTGGGGAACACAGTTCCTTTAGCCCAGAACAGATGACAGTAATGCAGTCCTTTCATTCCTCACTTTAGACAGTCACTTGTAACACTTAATCTATACAATTTTGTATATAAAATATTTATAGAGACTGCATAAACAACATAGAATAAGGCAGTTAGCATGTGCAAGATACTCATATTTTCCTCTGCAGCAGTTATTTCCATCATGCTACAGACACATCCCCTCTCTGGGTTATTGTACGACAATGTTAAATATGTAAAGTTAATATTATTAATTTAAAATTTCTTAATTCCAATGCAGTTCGACTCATAATATTAAAACTGCTTACAGTTTCTGTACAATAATTAGCACTTATATTGCCCTCTGTACTTTCAAAACACAAATACTGGCTAATCCATAATACACTTTGCTGATCTTTTAGGGTGACTATATAGGTTAACCAAAAAAAAACCAAAAACGGGGGGTGGGGAGTGGTTACGCAAAGTCAAGCGGAGAACCAGTACCCACCAGTTCCAGTGTTCTCTTTCCCAGCCCCATCATCTGTTCATTAAACTTTGCTTTTAGTAACCACAACCTTCATAATTTTACATTTTTACTGAATCCAATCCAAGAATGAGAAAAATGTGAAGTCTCCTCTAGAAATAAATTCTGTGGTAGGCCTACAAGCAGAAGGGAAGGACTACTAGCAAACCAACATGTAGAAGATACTTACCTTGTCATCAATTATAGCAGGACAGAGTGCCTAAGCTACATGCAAATTTTGGAGCAGCCTGGCTGAGAAGCAGGGCATATTACTCCAGGTAAAGCTAATGCAGCTACATTACTCTTAGGAGACAAACTACTGTATCTGTAAGCTATACTCCAAGATGTGTAGGCAGATCTCCTCACTCAGACCTTTCTTAGGTTATTTATATTAGGGGCTGCTCTAATGCTTTTTAGATGGTGGGTATCTCAACACAAAATTTTGCGCAAATACATACATATACACGTATAACATAATGGAGGTTTAAAAGAACATTATTGAAGCAAAAAAATATTGCACAAAAAAAAAAAAAAAGCCTTAGGGCCACCACTGAAGCATCCAGCTCTACAACAAATTCTTATCGCTCACTTCACAAATGCAATCACAGAAGAGCCAGGATATCAAATCCTTGTAATTCTCTCCTCTGTACCCTTTTTTATACCCACTTCCAGTAGCCAGATGGTTGTCTCTGCAAGTCTGGAGATCGCCAACAAAATCCTCACTAAGGGCTGTTGCAGGCACATTTGCATGCTACTCTTGTTTGCTGTGGTACCCAGACCAGAGCAAAAGCAAACCAAGAAAATCAGTTACTGGGGATAGGTCTTAGTCATCCTTTCTGCATGCTACCACAGATGCTGTCCATACTTGGCACAAGAAGGAAATAAGACTCTAACATGACACTGTGAGTGCATGATAACTCTGCAACATGCTTACAGCACTACATATACATATATGGAAACTCGTTACATGTCACTGTTAACACAGAACAACAAAGAGAGATTTTAGCAAGGCTTATCAAGGTCTGGTGGGGATGAAAGACACTGTCCTCAAGGTCAGAGCTGCCCTGATCTATACAGTGCTGTTTACCACTGCATAAAGATATCCTGAGGTTCTGTTAAACAAGATTTGCAAAAGCAACCGTTAACTTTGACAACATCAGCTTTGGGGCCCAATTTAGACAAACATAAGGATACATATTTATTTATAAAAACACCATGCCCTGATTCTCCTTAAAAAAAAAAAAAAATAGATTCTTGTCTAAGAGGCATATGCATTGAACTTAAGCTGAAGTAAGCTGCCTGACCACCATTTTTATCACACATTTCATTTTAGGCAAACAGCACTGACGGGACAATTAAAGCCAATATTTACAAATGTTGTTCAAAGTTTGTGAAGTTTGAATTTTCTGTGCAATTCTGTGCTATTCTGTATAAGTCATTTAAAAGCAAATATGCAGTATGCTAGAAGCACTAAAAATATTTACTTGTGTTAGTCTCACGTGTTTCCCTTGCAAGTCACTAGAAAGCACTTAAAGACGGCCAGTACCAACCTCAGAACTGGTAACTAATATCAGGTTTCTAAGTCCATGTTTAGGCTGTGGAATACAATTTATATGAATTTTAAAAGTGAGCATTTACATAATTCAGTAGTTCAAAAAATCAGAATACTTCCATTTAGGAGTTTATCTTGGAGGACCTAGCTTAGAAAATATTAACTATAATATCTCTGAAACCATTTTCAACTCTGAACATGGGGTGGGGGGTGAGGGTGGGGAAAAGTAGTTATATTCGATAGATACTAGAGCTTCTAAAAGAAAATGTATCCTCAGATTAAAATATATAGAAATTTTTACTTTATGGGTAAATGGTGTCATATATTTTAAAGGCTTTTGCACATTGAACTATGGTTAAAATTTATTTTTTGAATATTTATCCCCTTTACCTCAGCTTTCATCTAAATTTCTAACTCAGCCATTAGTACGTTAGCCATTAGTAATCTCCAGTGGAAAGGCAGGTTAAGATTGAAGATGCTGTGCATCTTCAGTGCATTGATGCATCATCAAAAAGGTTTTCTCACTCAAAATCAATATTAAGGAGACGGCTTTTTTGAAGCTGACATGACAGATGACATTTCTTCAATGATCCTTTAGGCACAGAGATTGACTATGCAGTATAAATCTGATTCTTATTTCTTGTCAACTGCCAGGTTACCAGCAATAAAAAAGAAAAAATAACATAGATCAAGAACATAGAAAAAGAATTTACTGTAGAAGTAGCGATGGTTGTAAACATTTCCAGAGCCAATGAACTGTCTTGCTGAAAATTAGTTTTGATGTATGGCATTATTGTGTGATCAGATACCACACAGCTTTCCCATTTATCCTCCACAGACACAAACAATCTAAACATGTGTGGTATATGA